ATATATAAGCTGAATGATAATAATGAACAGTCAGGTTTCATCGTTAATACTGTTGTCCAAAGATAGAGCGCAAGCAATTTTCGTATATTGTAAAGGCTTGATTTTTACTTATTACACGCTTTATAATTAGCCTATGGAAGAAACAGTAAATAAACATTGATAAGAATTATTGTGGAACGAATTTTCTTTTTTCTACCTAATCGCTTTGCTCTTTATGAATCGAAAAAAACACCTACTAAAATGGTCAAGCACCGCTTCTTTGACCTTTCTGGTAGACCCATTATTAAAGTCGAGGAAGCTGAAATTGGCTTGTGAACACGCACATTTGTGCTGTCGGTTGACGCATTTATGTCACAAGAAGTTACCGAGTAATAATTATATCAATGTAACGCGCCACTTCCAGCGCATAAACTTTATTTCTTAATATTGTTTCGGGTAGATCTTTGCAAATAAATTTTTTTGCACTTCACAGCCAAATATCAAGAGCCAATATGCTTGCTAACACCGAGTACGACAACGGAATCAGTGAAAAGCATACAAATTGGTTCCGTTGTCGTAGTTGGTTAACGCTTGAGTTCGGGCTCCTCGCCGTATCTACCTAGCCTTGAACGCTTAATCAAACAGCAACTGCTGGCAATAGCTTAATGGGATTATCCGAGGTCATTGGACGATTTGTGGCCTACTACGCGAGATAGGTTTGCTACGTGATCTTGTAAAACTGTTCCATTTTTTATAGCATCAACATGTGCGGCGACAACACGGCGCCTCTGATGGTCTCCTGCTGCGTATTGAAGATTTCGTGATAAAACACAGGCTTTTGATTGAATTGAGATTATTTATTGAATTGACAAAATTAAGAAGACAGTAAATTAGTAGTCTGAATAGCAAATGAGATACTGATCACTCGCTGTACAGATTTCATATGCTGCCTTGCCAACGAATTACTGATAGGAGTCGGGTAAGGCGATGGAATGGATACGTTTGCTTTCCACGGTATCTGACGACGGCGTTGACGTTGGCGAAGTTCGCGTCTGCTGAACAAGTAAATGCACACATCACGACTGATTAACGTGAACATCTAATCTAGGGAGGCCTAGCATTGTCATTTGTGAGTATTATTCATATAGCATTTCGATTTGACGTGAAAATGAAAACGCCCCACATTACGAAAAGAGATACAATCTATACAAAAAAACAATAAGGCGTACACTTACGAAACATCCTTCATATACACGTGCCATTGAGAAGTTCGCCAATCGGTGTTCACTTACCAAAAGCTCTGCTTTTAGATAGGTTTTCAGGAAAGCTAAATACTAAGTGTCAATAAAGCCCCAGAGAGGTTTAAAGTATCAATAAAGCTGCGCAAATAGACGAACGGAAGAAAGCTGTTACATGGCGCAGTTTCTCATCTTTGTAGTTTGTCAGGACGAACGAGCAACTAGAAAAAACCACAAAGATTGCCTACATCGGAGTTTGTCGTAGCAAGACTGTAGGCCAGTGTCAGTGGTTGCTTCCCTTTGTCAAGCGATTCCTTGCTGGGTCTCTTGGAAGCTGAAAATGGCTGCAACAAATGTGTATAGAGGTCACCATGAGCTACGTTAAATAATCGGGCGTTAGACATTTCCTATGGTTGCTACACCGTGAAATACGTACCTTAACAATATCGTTTTTATGGGCTGCGAACAGTTTGATCGGGTGTTGAAGCTGATTTTTGCCGTCAGTGCTTTCGGACTGACTCGATGCGAGGTTTCTGGCATTTTTAGTAATTCCTTCTTTTGGCAGGACGTCGTATTTCTAGAACAGCAATTCACGATGTCGTTTGTATTCACTCTTATCATATAACAAGCGCTAGCGGCGATAGTCGTGTATATGATACATGATACTTATTCTCTACAGTATATGTACTATACATAGAAAAGAATCACATCACAATACCGGGCTGGGTTTAGAGTAAGATCAGTACAGAGCCAAAGCGTAGGACACGGGGTCCAGGGCTTAGTGGGTGAACTTCAAAGTAGCAGTTGAATACACTCGTAGTGAAATATGTTCTGCAGCCCTCGAGAAACCAGCAAGCTGTTCAATAGGCTTATCAGTGTTTCAGAGCTCCATATATTTACCCGCCGAACCTCGGAAATAGGATGGCGCCTACTAGTTCTTAAAACTTCGGCATTCTCGTTCCCGCCCACATCTGCAGCTGTTGGAGAGGAGGGTGTTTTTCGAGTTTTGCCGGCCTCAAGTCGGTGTGGCTTCAGGTCTGCCTGGTCGGCTAGAATCTTTCTCGGAACCGGGGGCACGTTTGTCGGCTTTGAGGATAATGAAAAATCAATGAGTTGTTATACATTTGCACCGAAATAAAATAGGAACGTCACTAGCCAAAGGGTTGTTGCATGGGTCGTCTGCAGGACGCATACATGGACATGGGGCATACTTGCGAGACAGAAAATACCATTGAGCTTCGAGGCACAACCGGATGTATATGTGGAGAGTCGGGATCGGGATCGCCATCGCCATGATGGTCTGGTAAACGTTCAAGCACCCACAAAGGCATACGCTTACGCTGGAAATAGACACGAAAAGCGGTCAATTTGTACAGATTTTGCCATATGGATTTTTTGATTCGACGCCTGCTGTGAAACGGAATGTTTTATCTATTTAATTTAACGGCCGCGTAGTGGTAAATACAGAGGCTGCCGAAATTCTAATGAATCAAAACTGACAGAAAGTTGTAACCAGATGCGTACCTTTGAAATAGATCTTCCACCAATGATTTCAACAGTATCGGAATTACTGTCCGATAGATCTTCCTGATCGCGTTCTATCGCTGGCTGAGTCTCCTGTATACAAATTCAAATAATCACTTTAACAGTATACTACCTATTCTAATATAAGATAAACTTCTGTGATCAAAATTAGTAACGCTAAGCCAAAATACATCGTTCAGGATTTGGTACAATTAACTTATGTTATGGCCAGTTTTGAATTAAATTAAAGGTCTATATTTTTATGTTTAAAGCATTTTTGTTTTTTATCCCTTTGTCCTTTACAGCTTTCCTAGCTCTTACGACGCGAAAAATGCGCAGAGAATTAAGATCAACTTATCTGATCTCTTTCCAAGATATCCAAATTCAGGGTTATAGTGCTTTCGCCAATCTAGCTCTCGTAGTTCTGAGGGTTTCGAGAATGTGTAATGCGGATGCGTCACTGGCAGTTAACGATGTTTACTGTGAAAGTTACGACCTCACGAAACTCAAGTTTTTTTCCCACACCAACAGTCGGAACTGCGCTAGCCTTACTTCGGTGTAAACATCGAATCAAATCACAGGTGCTCACAACTAGCCAAAGTTATTACTCAGCTGCCTGTAAAGTCTGGTAAAGATTTAACTTTTTTTTTTTTGTACTTCTAATAGATTAGTCAGTAAACGGCAGATTTCGATTCTCTGTCAGCTAGAACATTTGTCCGATTGAAGATACGCACAATCGACAATAAGCTTAGCCCAAGTTCATTATTTCGTTAGCATCTATTGTAAACAAATAAATACACCTATTGACTATTTTTATTGAATCTATTGTTTTCGTTATTGTCTCTCCAGAGAATATTCGAATAGCAAACGACCTCTTCCATAAAGCGTATCTTCCCTTTGGCTAGTGGCCAGACTTTGATACTCGATTTAGATACTAATTTGTATACTAATATGTATATATATATATATCTGTATACTTATATAAGTGTACAGATTAGTATCTAAATAGAGTATATATAACGTATATATATATACTGTATACTGGTGAAATAATTTCTTCGATGCTATCTAACTTTACTGGTTGCTATTTACTTACGCTGGCATCACTGGGCTCTAGTTTTTCAGAAGAACTTTCGGAACGCGTGCTCATATCGGCATTCACGGTAAAAGTGCCTCGATTTGCAAATGAGAGAAATATCTCTTCTAATGACGTGTCAGATACCTGCAAGTTAGCAGTAGTAATTTTCACCACGATCCACTCTATTTGATTATGTTTGTGGACGGACGCAACATGGATCGTCTTAGGAAGAGCTGATGGTAAAGAGAAACAGTTTGGTTCATTATGACCATTTGTATAGATTTAAGACCACAGTTTACGAAAAAGAAATCGGTTGAGGATCGTTCGAACGAACAAAATTCTTTCTGGCCTTCCGTATCCGCGTCGCACTTTATAAATAGACAGACGATATTGCATCAAGAAAGTACTTATCACTTATCGATTTTACAGTGCTGATGAAATGTGAACTCATCTAAGATTGTTTACATTGCGCGAAAAACTGAAAGACAGACTGCTTCCTTGGGCATTATATACCTTCTAGAGACCAAAAATTCATTGTCTATAACGAGTTTTCATAGCCTGTCGTCTGTTCAGTCAGTACTAATTTTAGTGCCAGGTACAATTTTGAGAATAGGACAATTTTGAGCCAGGCTTTAGGAGGTACGAATGTTCTCGGGAACTGAGCATAGTTTAGGCCAAGCGTTCGCTCCCAAGTAAGTGCATTGGGCTTTTGCACAAGATCAGGGTACAAACGAGACCTGAACCAAGTATCCACGGATTAGTCTGGGTGTTATCTAAATCATATAACTTCCTTTTATTATGCTTTGATTCCTGCTACACGAGATTATCCGGACATTTTTGTTGAAAGATGTCCGAATCTTGGAAAAAGCACGCTAGCTTCGAGGCTGAGTCCGCTTAAGATATAGTCACAATGCCACAAAGGCCAAGGAGGTTTACGTATATGGATCTACGATATTACAACCTGTGCCTAACTATCTCACATGTGCTCTTCCACCCAGACGTTTTGATCTACGGGAGTTTAAAAGCAGTATTAAGATAGAACGTTGACCATTAGCTTTGGGGTAGCGAAGTTTAGAAATTTACACTGCGGATACATCGCCACGTATAAGCTCTTTGAGCCGATTCCATTAGCGCACCATTTTACAAGATTATGTCAAAAACTAAGACAAAAGGATGAATAATCGCGAAAAATATGTATCTATATCGAAGTTGAAGACCGTAACCATGTCCGCAGCGAGCTTACCAAGTGCATTGGCGTCAATAACGTTACCTGTAGTCTCGTTGCGTAAGAAACACTTAATCAAAAACCAATCGACTCACAAGATAAAGCAAGGTTCTAGAAAAAAAAAACACCCGAAAAAAATCAACACGGCAAGAGATAGGTACTTCGGATAGCTTTTAGAAACATCAAGAAAGGCATAGTCGAGCACAAGGTTAGAGAAAATGTCGCTATCTGAATAAACCGTACAATTCAAATATGAAGCTAGAATACGACTAATATTTCCCGCTTGTAAACTACATGCTCTTCTCATGGCTGCACGAGATCCAACTACGCAAACCCAGCTCATAGCCACATAATGAATTATGGGCTTACTTTGTTCAATTATTCATTGCCCGAGCAGCTATCCGCGTCATCAATGGACAATCGATTGTGGATCCGTTCAACGAACAACCGAGCGCGTTATAACAAATAAGTTTTATGCTACCTGTTTCTGATAGAAGACTACCCGGTAAGTTAATAGGTTCAAATTTTAAGAAATTCAATTATGTAGAGTAACAAACCTGTAGTCAACAATATACGAAATACGTACATAAAATATCCTAATCACAGATAGGAATTACGTACTGAATGCAGTTTGCGTATGGGGTTTTATGTGTACAAGTTATATAGGCAAAACCAACATTCGTATATATGGCAGTACCTGGACATCTTCGATTTCAAGTGCTGGATCATTCCGCATAGTCATGATACGCTCGAAGACCACACTCCATCGAAGGGTCGCTTTCGACACGTGGAACGTCAGCAGGCGCTATCGAAATAGTCAAAAGTGAAACATTATACAGCCACTGACATTTTGTATCGAATTTAAAGTGCGATTGGATTTTTACGTATGTGCCGCGCTTGGCAAAACTATATAATAATTAAATCCTGTTCATTATTGGGATAAACGACTACATAAACATGTTATCATGGGTCATAGCCATGCTCATTCAGAACGTACTGCATACGTCGGCAACGTTGTCGAACTGAACCATACGCCATGCTAATTAAATGAAGTTAAAGCTTCCTGTAAAAGTCACCGCATATGGCATGTGGCGCACGAAAATAGGATGCTTTAGTGTACTTTAGCAGGTATGCTGGGTGAGAAAGTCAGATTAGGATGAACTTTTTTTTTTTTGAACCGTTTGTGGTGTGATATTAGAAATCAGCCAGTTTGTTCTACCACAAAAACGCTACCTACTACTGTGAAAAATAGTGCGTCACTTATGGAACTCCAGTTATGATCCAAGTTTCTTAAGAAAGACGAATCTTTACCTATATTTCATGCTTAATAGATTACCCCAGATGGTTAGCTAACGGCTTATACGGCCACAGAAACAGAGGCAGGTCTAACTACAACAGAACGAAAAATTCACGCCCAAAAGTGATCCGAGTTAATCGATGGTGTCCGGAAATGAATTTCTGATCATTTTTCTGTTTCCGTTACGGCGTTTGCAGGGTAAGCTCACCGTGTCATGCATTGTTCACGAGGGTGTTGGGTACGTGTCATGTGTTGTAAAAATGCTCTGAGATCCTTATCCTCCTGAAAATACAGCAGCAGGTCGTCTTCGATTGGACGGAAATACTCTACTCAGCGTTGCGCAGTTGACCGCTGGTTTGCTCACTACCTAAATATGCCTGCCGTGCGCGAAAGCAAAATTTCGGCCTGTGTTCCATGTTCCGAGTCTGGTGCCTGGCGAACGAAACGTTCTCCTACCGTACAGGTAATCGAACAATTCATCACAGTAGTTTATCTGCGTATTTTACGAGCTGCTGTACCACCGATATCTCAAGTGCCTGACAGATCATACGTCTTCTAGCAGAATGGTGCCTTAGCTCATATTGGCCATTTAGTGCAGAATTTACCGCTGGAAAATAGAAGTATATCCCGGAATGGACACACGTGGCCGCTGAATAACTTAGATTTAGACCCGCTAAACGGAGCGATGATAAGCAGGAGTCTAAATACAACAACGTCGACTTGCTCATTCGTGCGGTGCTATTAAGAAAATGCCCATTCATCTGCATTTGTGCGAATATTCCAAACGAGCCTGTGAGCGGTCCATGGCCTGATTTGAAAATGTGATCACGATCGATTGTTATTATATTCGATGAAGATGACCGCCAAGAATGACGCATAAAACGAGGTTCATTTTAATCAGTTTTGCAAATAACACGACGCATTCTGTATATAGGGCACATCGCTACCAGGCTGACTAAGACCTTTCCGTCTCTCCGTCAGATTACCAATCGACGGCATCCGGCTTCACATATGCCGGACGTGGTACGACCCATATTACCCCATCTCCATATGACGCAATTTGTTCCGTAGTTTGTTTTGAGAAACAGACGAAACTGCGACGGAAAAATGAACGGGATTTTTAACTTCTTTCTTCTAGATAGCTCGATCTTCTAGGAAAATAAAATATTCAATGAGTCGAATTGCATTTGTAACCGGCGCGCATATGAGCAATGTCACAAAAGTTTGATAACATGAATTTTGCAAACGACCTAGTTTCTTTTGTTAGATTAAAGTGAAATGTCTTAAAAACAGCATTTTTTTCACATATTCAGAGTTGTTTGTTGTACACCACCTGATAGCTCTGCTTGAGTCGGCATCCACTAGGGAATACGCTTTGCATAAAGTGAATGACTGCTTTTTCTTGCTGAGGTGAATCAACGGCTAACTTCACCAGTACAGTGAAGCCGTGGCTGAACTTCAGTTTCAAATCTGGCGAAGAGCCGATACAGCGGATGCTACCCGCCACCATTATGGCAATACGCTGACAGAGCGCTTCGCACTCTTCCATCGAGTGGGATGTCAGCATGCACGATGAACCTATTTCGCGTTGAAGAGCTGTTAGCGTACCCCAAATTTTTCGACGCGCTGTAGGATCGATGCCCGCCGTTGGCTCATCAAGGAAGAGAAGCGGCGGATTACCGACAATTGCTAAACCGACGCACAATTTCCGCTTGGTTCCACCACTGTAATTATATGTCAACTTATCAGCATGACTTGAAAGATCGGTGAGACGTACAATCAGTTCGATTATCGCATCCGTTTGATCGGTGTCTACGCCGCGAAGAGCACAAAAAAGCCGGAGCATCTCGTTTCCTGTCATGCTATCGATCAGGACGTTTTGCTGAGGACAATATCCGATAAGTTTCTGAAACCCCTGAACATTGTTGTGCAATTGCTGATCTCGAATGTACGCTGTCCCACTTGAAACGCTTAGGTCGCCACTTAACATGCTGAACGTTGTCGTTTTGCCCGCACCGTTCACGCCGAGAAGGCCGAAACATTCTTTTTTGTTGACAAGAAATGAAATTTTGTTTACGGCTAAGAACGTCCCGTAGTATTTCGTCAACTCGTGAACAACCATGGCGTATTCCCTTGTGGAATTGGTATCAATGGCCTGTTCGACCTGAAATCGCTCACCGACTACATCGGGGTCCTCTGGGCCAAATAGCATTGTTCCACCTGTTGAGTTCATATCGCATACAAACCACAATAAGCATTAGCATCGGACAACAACAATACAAACTAGAAACGAACTTTTTGCAATGAAAAAACAGCTCTTCGAACGTAGGTTATGCACACAAATAGTCGGGAAAAAAAACCTGGATTTTTATTCAGCGAAATTTAGCTTGAGCCTTTAAACATGGTCTTTAGGTTGATCTGATTATCAGAAATGTCACACGCTGGTACTGTGTCAATCACAGAACTCAGAATAATTGGAGTTAAAACAATTGCTGAATTCTGATATATCAAATACTAGTATAGCACAACACGATAGGAAATTCTAACGGGCCGCTAAGGACGACCTGTAATCATGTCAGGTCGGCATTCAATTTTGCATATTTGGAGATATTTAAGGAAAACAACTATATTTTTATAATTTCAATTGAGTTAAAACTAACTCAATAATGAAGCGGGCCCCATTGCCATTAATTTACGTCACAAGCAGAAATACTCGCCATTGAGTTTTTTTTTTTTTTTTTTTAACTGATGTTCATTGTTTGTCCTTTCTTGAATACTACCCTGCAGAATCAAATCGAACAATAGTATCCAACCAGAAGCTAAGTTACGTTTTCCCACTTATGTCGTGCCTCTTGTTGAACAGGGTGGTTTATTTATTAAGCTATTGCCAACGGTTCGCCTCCGTGACAGCGTGGAATCTCGTAACGATATAAACTTGCTTTATAATAGAAGCTTTCACTAGTTCCGCCTATATATTCTGAATGCTATTAAATGCGTTGCCAGGAGCAGGATCTCGTCAGCTAGTGAACGACTATTGCTTGGTGTTACATAGGTTATGAACACTTGACTTGCTCTCCGTACTGCGCATAAAATGGCAATCCTATCAAGATTGTTTGATACCTTTGCTCAGGAGAAAACTCATGCTATGTTTCGAAAGTTTTTTTTTTAAGCACGATTGTATTAGCTTCGACCACCCTAACTAACAAACTCGTCGTACCCCTATAATTAACTTTCCATGGATTCCCAAAACAATATGTTCAACAACTTGACAGAACAATTTGATGACAAGCCCCACGATGGTCTGAACTGTTCTGAACGGTCACTGTTTCGCTTTACGGATACCTTTTATTAGCAAAATTGACGTCGTCAAAAAATCGTTCAACTACTAGATATAACCGTAAGGATATTGATGGTACATGTGTAAAGATGGCTTAATCTAGGAGGGTAATGCAGTTTCAAAAATTAAAACATTTCAATGATTTATGTACTACTGTGTTCTTTCGAAATCACTGACGTTGTATAATAGACCCTGTTAAAGAGACATCTGTTATTGCAACTAACTAAGGTGACCTACGAAGAGAATATTTGCGCGTAAATTCGGAAAGAAAAGCGAAAGGCATTGTTACGAACTGTAAAATAACTAACTTTGGTCATTCCTATGCCAAAGCATTCGAAATCCCCGTAGTCCGTTATTTTTTAGGTTTTCCAGATAATCCACTGTTTTCATGTAGTACAGCTCCATGATAGATAAGAAAACCCAGCCCATTAGGCCGATGCTCGTCATACAAACGATCTGTAACCCGCAGCCAAATCGTGTGTCGAAAGCGAATGCATCCCGTTGGCCAGCGTAACAAATATTTGGCCCTCCTTCAGGACATGCTGTGGAAGATGCATCAAAAATGTGGTCACCTAGTTGTCAAGCCGATGGCCTAAACTAAACGCTAAGCTCAGGCAGATCTAATCATTTGCCTGATAATTATAGTTATTCGATGAGAGAAACATTTCTCCATGGGCGGTAGAGGCGCGAATTATATAAATATAACCTCATTTCTGAGGTTACATTTATCGCACTAGGTAGAGGTTTCGGTTCAAGTATGAGCTGTATATGAGTATACCTCTCGGATAAATGCGAGGCTTAGCTCTCGCGTAAAGTGAACTTTGGCTTAAGTTTCAAGAACACAGGGTTGAATAATATTCTTCTTTGACCTAATCGTATTCCGTTTAGCGGGGAATAATCTGAACAACAACTTAATACAACCCTGCGCATTTGCTTCTACATGTATAAAAACTGAAATTCACAAAGTTATTTTTCGTTGAAGATGTTCATAGTTTGGCTAAAAGATCACTAATCAAGCGAAGACAACAGCGAGATCATCGAAGGTAACGAATGATGAATCAACAAGAGCTTTGCAGATACGAGCTGAAGGGTACACAGTTATTACACATACGCGAAATACATTAACGTCACGTTATAAACGATATAATACATATATTATTAAGGAAATATAACGATTGAGAGAGATTGCAGACGCATGTGAAGTACGGACGCTGGCAGCAGAGTCTGTACAACTCCGGAAGCATTCTGCACATTATAATGCGTTCGGATCCTTGGACAGTTTCGCAGAGTTTTTCGCCGATCGTATTTGAGCGAATGCTGCTGATCGCCCACGATACGGCAAAGGTAGGTATTAGGCTGCCCAGCTGTATGAGAAAATGAAAATTGCACAAGCCAAATTAGTACCCCGAAGCCAATTTGAATTAGGGAAGCGAACCAGATCGCGATCAATGTTGCCGCCATCTTGGTTCACTCACACATTTATCACTTGTCGTATTTCGATAAACATACATAGGTGTTTTCAAATGAGCCCGTCAAATTGATCGCATCTTTCTTGTGGCTCCGCTGTGCTTGGGGGTTCTGCAGTGTGGAACGAAGTGGCAGCTCGTGTCGTTGTATTAAAGTGTAACATGTTTAAGTACGATTTTCCACACTAGGATAGGTGAGATTTTTACGTTTAGCTATAGCAGACTGAACTGGCATCCATTTCAGAACAATATAGAAGATTATAAAGCAATGGATACTAAGTTATTGTCATCAGACGTAAAACCAGCTATATGCAAGTATAGGACAGCTCGCCTGCGCCTACAAAAGTTACATGACGTAACTCAAAGGTGATAGTGTGTAAAATAGAAGTTAAAGTAACGTGCCTTCACAGGAAGAAGGAGAGCTTCGTTGGTTAAGATAGCAATCAATTCAAACATTGCAATCACAATTCCCAAGCCAATCCCCGGTATTAATGTTAGATACTGCACGACCGAAAGTCCCGTCGCGGAATCCTGAAAGCATTGCAGTCAATGTTGGCGTTATTATTCGTACGGAAAATGATACTAGCTAACTTGCCTATGGCTTTCGAAACGCATTCAGTCACACCCCCATACGTTTACGGGAAAACACTATACTGTTACTTATGCTGGCAAACTTTTAATATGACACTTTTTTAAACGATGTAATATTTTTTGAGCAGTTCAGTAGGCAAATCTAGTAAAAAAAAATGCATAATTGATGAGGTATAAAGCCGCCAACGTATGCTTACGTCAATAATATAGGTGATAATGTACACCTGAGGAAGCATGGAGAAACAGAAGAGGGTCAAAACCGCGATTAAAGCCGCTGCAAAGTTATGCCAAACGAAGTTGTGAGTTATCATTTTAGTAGTCAACCTGTAAAGACTAGAGATAAATGTGAGCTGGCTGGAAGTGAATCATATAACCTCATAAGTTAAAACCCCATAATTCTATACAACGCTGGCTGTAGAATTGTCATTTGTATGATCGTGAAAGTTGATTGGGTCTGTTCAAGATCTCAGTGTCGTCGATTTCCGTCAAGTGTTGCCCTGTGTACTGCTGTGAAAATGGGAGCCATATCACGAACGAAGCTGAGAAAACCATATTGTTATTGCCGCAGCCATAATGTAACGTATACATTTTCTATATGTGAATCCATTACGCATTATTTATTACAGTATAACTCCGGTGACGTCTTAATCGATACGTACCCAGGTTTTGCGTTACTGCGTACACATTACTGGGATCTACTAGAACGAAGATTGCCACCATGATCGTTACGGTGACAAACATAGACAACAGATCAAAGACCGCATTTGAGAAAACGTACAGCCATCGGGGAAGTCCGGTCATAATTTGCACCTACGCAAACGAAAGTTAGCAGGACATGGTAAAGTGACCAGTAAAAATAACGAATAATACTTATTGATTATTAAATGATGCGACTGTTGACAAAAAAACCAAGCAGGTCGTCACAAGCTGCAGCCACTATACAGGGTACATCTGCGACGAATAATCTGTTCTTTCCGATAATTATTTTTGAACAACAAAATGACATGTTTCCAGTTCTACGTTTTGCATTGTCCTAGTTAAACGTTGTTTCAAACGGCTGGCTCCCAGAGTGAAACGAAGTGTGCCTACATCCGGCTTTGAGCCTAAACCACCTCACGGTTCCCTAAGCCCAGTTGGCGCACAAATCAAAATTATCCCGCACACTCAAAGTTGCGACAGAAATCGCCTGTTTTAATTCACGGATTAGAAATCTTCTCCATGCGATGCCGCTAACACCCTTTCTTCTTATCTTCACTATAAACATAGCAACTGAAATTGTAACAGAGGATTACTAAGACAAAGCAAACGCTGGATACAAGTGAGCAATAAATTTCTAATTGACCTAAATGCTGCTAAATACAAATGCTAATGAGAATATATCTATGAATAAGGCCTCATTTACCGTCGATAAAGCACCGTGCTTGAAGCAGGGTCATTGTTAGATGCGTTGTTAACAGACGAAATGTTTGTGATTCGGAAACAAACACAGATTCTGTCATCTGACAATTGTCGGACTCTGATACGTTGCAATTATTGACGGGAGAAAATATTAGTTAGTACGGCGATTCAAAAAATTGGAAACATTGGATATGTAATGTATGAAGAATGATACTGGCCAATGAAGAGGATTTTCAGCAAATACATCTTTTTCCATTTATTTATTAATTATTTAACCAAGCTATCTTTTAGCATTCTCGTGTAGATTACCCGAACAAAACGTCTAAGCTATATCCATGACACATTTCTAATCTACTTTCGTTGAAAAACAAAATAACTAGCTCCAAGCGTAATCGAAAAGTTTCAAAGGAAGACAGGCCTTGTGTAAGTAAGTAAGCTTACAACAGGATGACTCACGTTCGTTCAAAGTTGACTTTCACTTAAAGCAAACGTTATTTCAATTGCTAGCTTTATGGGGCTTAAGCTGATTATTGACTGCCCCATTGTGTATAATTTTTTCTTTTGTATCATGAACTTTCTCAAGACGATATGTAAATTGATCACGTTCCATCGTGAGGCAATACTCGAAATGTCACGAGCAATTATTATTAATGTTCGCTGTCTGTGATAGCAGAGCAGTCAGCCAATATGCTGTCTTAAATTATAATATATTTATTCAAATACATTATAAAATACAAGAATACTGTTCCCTTATCCTTTTCGTTGTTAGGCGATCACGGTTTCTAACATTAACGTGCATGTAACCATAGAAACAAAAAAGGGTACTGGTCTTTTGTGAAGTCAAATAAACATTTTGCGCATTCAACTTCACAATAGACAATTTTTCTCGCTCTTTGGCTGCCAAACAAGCCAGCTTCGATTCTATATTTGGCTATTATATATAATGGCTTTAGTTCAGACAATATAGGTAATTAAAAATAAAAAAAACGCTCTAATAATCGGCTAATGTCTCGTGTGGAATTTTGTTTTTAAATTATAAGTATGACAGGCTAGCATACTTTCGTAACTAGAAATTGAACGTCCTTACACGAGATTCAAGCTGGGTCGAATCAATAAAAGGCATCTCACAAACCGGTTCTATAATTAGGTGGCGTAATCAGGTTAAAAATAAAGGTACTTGGATCAGGGAAAGCTAGAGATTTCAGCCATAGGCGAGGGTATTAACATCTTGTTAATGAGCTATTGGCCATTTCATGTCCATGAAAAGTTCGCACATTACCTAGAAGCATTTGATTTTACGTTACGCCTAAGAAATGCCCCAGCGTGCTTCGTTCAATTCGAAATCGGCCAGAGAGGATACACAATTGTGGTCTCTTGAAAAGGTGGGTCAAAATAGATACGACAGCTTAGCTAAACTGAAATATTTATCTAAAATCGCATGTCTCGTTTACTGTCCAGTCGGATTCACCGGGGAGACATTATGTTACTAACAGTGTACGAATCAGGATTGCGCGCACCTTGAGCCCAACTATTCATCAGAAGTTAAGGCTTCCTGTAGTCTTGAATATGGTGCTGTTATATAGCCGACAAACTGATACCTGCCGATTCATAATCTCCTACGTTATAGCCAGAGTTCTGAATGCGACCCAGTTGGTGGTTCTTATTTAAGCAAATTTATGCTTAATGCAATGCATTACTCATACGCATGACTGACTGTTCGTAGATAGATTTGAAAAAATAAATACGAGATTAAATAGTTCATCATCATTTAATACAAGAGAATCCATGTTCGACCCAGATACGGTCTAGTACTGAACCGTCTCAAGGTGCGCACGATAAGCACGAGCTCGTTAAACGAGACGATGGCACGCGTTGCTATCTGTATCAACATGTAAGTATTGACGGTTTAACAAAACGTGCTTACTAGCCTTGAAAAACTAATTAATGAAATTAACGACGAATTCATCACACCAACCAGTTTAACTTTTGCGACCCGTTCCTCGATTGGGAGTACTACAGCGTTGCAAAGCATATACGATACTGCAAACGTTACACCGACACTGGCCATGAACCTGACTGTAAATGTAAATAAATGTGGATTAAACAGGTCGCCAACAACCGACCCATCGCGTGTCGGGTTATTTCTGTCATCATAAACCCATTAGCCTTTGTCCGTAATACTTCAGCATTTTACTGATACTATTTCTGTGCAAAGTAGCCCGGGCTTTTCAGCTTCTTTTGTGATTCTAGGCAGAGCAGCCAGTAACGATAGATCCTAATTTATTTTTTTATTCATTCCTGGATTTCTGGTTGATAGTCAAAGCCCACACCCCATGCCCGCCTCAGCCAATGCTATAGCCTAAAACATCTTGACCGAATCGCTACCGCAGCGCCACCTGTAGCAGCTACAGCGAAACATCCTCTACGAGACGAAAGGTGTATGAGAATGCTTTGTTTTAAAACAACTGTTTGTTACTTTGCCATTTTCATCGTTGGCTTTTTTATCGGGGCAAGTTTCCACGTGCAAAGGCGGGTCGATTTAAACTGGCTTGAAGCTATTTACCTATGTAAAGGGTTTGAAACTTTTGTTGCAGCTTTTCAACCCATAGAAACTTGCTTCGATAGGAAAAGCCAGCGGTGAAAATCGCACGGTAAAAACAGTTGTTT